TGAAGGTCAAAGAAGACGGGAACGGCAAAGGATGAGATGGTTAGACAGTGTCATAGATGCAATGAACATGAAGTTGAGGAAACTTCAGAGGACGGCAGAAGACCGGAAGGCCTGGCGTGATCTGGTCCATGGGGTTGCGAAGAGTCGGACTTGACTGTGCGACTGAACAACAACAAGCACTTGTATAGCGCTTTCATTGCTCAAAGCACTTTGCATATATTAATACAGTTATCACTGTGGTTCTGAGGGGCAGGAGCACTGCTTTGTATGCACTTGCTGCCCCAACACTGTTCCCAGTTCCTTTTGCTGCCTCTTGATACTGTGGTGTCTTAGAGAATTTATGGGGGTTACAAAGTCGAAGAGGAGTGTGTTAATTTCAAACTGTTAAAGTGTTTCACAAGTCACAAGCAAGACCTTGAATTCTCTCAAAAGACACTATAGATACTGGTGCGTTTCCAGAGTTGACAATATCCTGTCTGTCTCAGCAAGATTTTGTTAAACCTTATGAGTCGCCACCTGCAGTGTTTTTATCTCTTGTTTCCCATCTGAACCTCAACAAAATGCACTGCAATGTGATTCTGTACCAAAACTTGAAATGAGCAAAGATTATTTTTGTCAGCAGTTAGGCTTCGTCAGTCCCATTTACCCATCTAATAATGATTGTTCTGCGGTCCTTCCAGAGTGTGATCATGGTTGTCTTCAGTGAAGACAAAAACCGAGATGAACAGCTGAAGCACTGGAAATACTGGCATTCCCGGCAACACACAGCTAAGCAGAGGGTTCTTGACATTGGTGAGTATGTAAAAGAGCGCAGTAGTGACCATACATGATTTTGGGTGCTTTGTGATCCATGGCAGAGGAACAAGGAAGGGCACTTCCTGAAGTGGACCGTGCTCTGAAGCAGGGGTAGCAAACCAATTTTTTTTAAAAAAATTGGTTTGAGTTAAAATATCAAACCTGGGCTCTTTTTGTAGAAAAAGCCCAGCAGGAACTCATTAGCATAATAGGCCACACCCAACAGCAAAACTCATTAGCATATTAGGCCACACCCCTGACATCACAGCTCATTAGCACATTAGGCCGCACCCCCATGTTACCAGAAGTGTGGTCATCCAGCCACACCCACCTTTCCCTTCTTATTCTGTTTACCTTGTTTGTGGTCAAACCCAGGGCTTTTTTTGTAGCAGGGACTCCTTTGCATGTTAGGCCACACACCCCTAATGTAGCCAATCCTAATGAGTTCCTGCTGTTGGATGTGGCCTATTATGCTAATGAGTTCCTGCTGGGCGTGGCTAACTCAGGAACCAGCCGGAACTCCGTTCCTGTGCGTTCCTGCCCAAAAATAGCCCTGAAATGAACTATAGAGCAAATATCCGCACCAGTTTAAAAATCCACCTTATTCTGACTTTCATAAGCTGAACATATAAACATGTATCTATAAATGATTGCAAATTCAGCAAACAAGTGACAAGCTTAGTTGTATTCTGTATGTCCAACAGTGCCATGCTAAAGCAGACTTGCATCCTTTAAGCTCACTGACTTCAGGGGACTTCTAACTCTGCCTAGGATGGCAGTGCAACTGTGCTACAAAGCCAAGGTCATAGTCCATAGGCACAGGATGCAGCAACTTTAATGAAGCTAAGCAGGTTGGAGTCTGGCCAGACAGTGCCTGCATGGAAAATTCCTTGGAAACCCCATGTAGGATTCTTTCAGTCGAATAAAAGGAGAAAGCTGGGCTATAAATGAAATCAATAACAAAACAAACTGAGTGTCTATGAGTAATACCGTTAATGTTGTAGTATAGGTTATTGTTGAGTTTTGTTCTGAACTTTTGAACATGTCTAGGGAAATGCTGATCGCCACTTTGGGATCAGGAAGCAATTTTCTCCAGGCCAGGGATCCTGGAGGACTTTTTTTTGCCACCTTCTGGGTATGGACCAGGGGTCACTGGGTGTGTGGAGGGGGGAGGTGTTTGTGAATTTCCTGCATTATGCAGGGGGTTAGACTAGATGACCCTGGAGGTCCCTTCCAACTCTATGATTCTACATACAGAATCTTTCTTCCCAATACACACTTCCCTCGATCCTTCAGAGGAAGCCTCTGTGATTAAACTAGTGTAAAATCAGTATAAACAAGAGGCGGGACCCACAATACTCACGGGGGGGGTATTCCCCACAGCTCCCGGCATGCAGAAGCAGGAGACGCAGCAGCAGGTGAGCCCAGCCTCCCCTTCCCCCCCAGTGGTGGCGGCGAGGCCGGCCCACCAAGCTTTCTCATTCCCCCCTCCCCAGCAGCAGCGAGGCCGGCCTGCCAAGCTTTCTCCCTCCCCATTGGCGGCGGCAGCAAGGCTGGCCTGCCAAGCCTTCTCCCGCCCCCTGTCCCCTGTTGCAGTGGCGGTGGCGTAGCCTTCTCAGAACGCTCCTTTACTTTTGGGGGGATTTAAGTATCCCCCCCCCATAGTTTTTTTTTTCAGTTTTTAGATTTTTCTGCACATCTGGGGATTGCCCCAAATGTGCAGGAAAATCTCCCTGCCCCCCAGATGCCCCCGATGTGCGGATTTAGATATCCGCACGTGGGGGGCGCCTTGGCTATTAGATATATAGATGAGTAGCCTAGAGGCATCCTGATTTCGTAAACTGGATTTTTGTTTCTCTGAGTCATCCTTTTCCACATGTACATTATTGTATTTTCTGAAATGTGTGTGTGGGGGGGTACCTTCCTTAGCTAGTCTTGCTTCGTGTTCCTGTAATAGCCCTTAGACAGGTCTCCTGTGAAAAGCCGCTTTCTCCTGTTTGAAAAGTCCTCCGATCTCTGTGCCCTGCAGTGCTTCAGACATTCCTGGTGCATTGTTTCACTTGTCCAGGCAGCATCCCAGCTCTTCGAACCAGACAAGTGGATGAATGCCTTTTGTATGTCAGTCAGATTTCCGTCATGTAAATGTGATTGAAATTATTAATCATCTCTTGATTACAGTTAGTGTGTTGGGTTTGCAAAAAAGAAAGAAAGAAAGAGGCAGATAGCCAGGGAATGGGAGAGGCATTTTTCCATGTGTCAGCACAGAATAAGCACCTTTCTGCTCACATGCATGAGGTTTCTTTTTCTATTGATAACACACTAGTGCAATTCTTAGACGTGTTATTTAATGTCCTGTTGGCTAAGAGACTAATTACGAGTGGGGGACCCATGAGAACATGTGGGGGATCCATGAGGCCATGTGGGAGACAGCCAGCTTGGCGTAGTGGTTAAGAGCATCCTCCTCCGCATGAAGCCAGCTGGGTGACCTTGGGTCAGTCACAGCTCTCTCAGAGCTCTCTCAGCCCCACCTACCTCACAACAGGGTGTCTGTTGTGGGGAGAGGAAGGGAAGGCGATTGTAAGCTGCTCTGAGACTCCTTCAGGTAGTGAACAGTGGGGTATAAAACCAACTCTTCTTTTTCTCCTCCTCCTCCTCCTTTCCCAGTACCGTCTCTACTTATGTTTTTGTTTTTTTCCTCCTCCAGCAGCACCGGCAGCCACTTTCCCCCCACTTACCTGTTCTCTCTCCTGTATGTCCAGTTTGGTGTAGTGGTTAAGTGCGCGGGCTCTAATCTGGGAGAACCGGGTTTGATTCCCCATGCCTCCACTTGCACCTACTGGATGACCTTGGGCAAGCCATAGTTCTGACAAGAGCTGTCCTTGAAAGGGCAGTTCTCGAAAGAGCTCTCTCAGCCCCACCTACCTCACAGGGTGTCTGTTGTGGGGAGGGGAAGGGAAAGGAGTTTGTAAGCCGCTCTGAGACTCCCAGTGAAGGGCGGGGTATAAATCCAATCTCTTCTTCTTCTCTTCTTTTTCTGTCTTCAGCTTCCCTTTCCCCGGCAGCCCCATTCCTTTCCTTCTTGCCCCCTACTGTCTCTCCCCATGGCACAGACTGGAAGAGTCTCTGGAAGCATGTCTTAGGCTTGTAGAGAAATCCCTCTTGTCTGTTCCTTCACCACTCTGTGAATTTGATCCACATTCCAGGGCCGGTGCAGACTTAGATATAATGATTTATTTCCCCCCGGAGTTTATTTTGAGTGCGATTTATTTTTTTTAGGGAAAAATTGCCTTGGTGGCTTGTAGTACTTGTATTATTGCACAGGGAGCTGGAATCCATATGAATCCAGTTCTGTGAACAACTTATCTGAGAAGAAAAGCCGGAAGCATAGTGTAAGCATAAAGCTGTCAGTCTCTGAACCAGAGTGTCAGAGGACCCACGCACTCCTTCCATCCCCCACTCATATGAATTCCCCCGTTCCCTTCTCCGGTAGGGTTGCCAAATGACCCCGGGGGGCGGGGAATCCCCCGCTTCGGAGCCCCGAGTTCCACCCCGGCGGAATCGGGGCCCGGGGGGAACCCCACCCCCGAAGCCTCGTCACCAGTTGCTGATGTTTGGGGCGTGGCTGAGCTCGTCGGGGGGGGAAACCATATGTTCCCCCCCGACGAGCTCGGCCACGCCCCCAACGTCAGCAATGTCTGACGTCACTTCTGGTGACGTTGTGGCGGTGCGCACGTGCGCACACAGCCGGCTCCCAACCAGGACGGAGCCTCCCCCGCCGGTAAGGTTTCAGGATTTGGCAACCCTATTCTCCGGTTACTGATAACCTCGGTGCGCTGGCACTAATCACAGCTAACATTAGCCATGGTTAGCTTTTAAATCTGGGTTAGAAATGGTTGTTCAAACCTTAGTTAAAGCTAACCAGAATTAGCAACTATGATCAGTGTCAGTAATTTTGATAACTTTTCAGTGTTTGCTATTTTCCATGTAATAATTTCCTGTACTGAAAACTAACCCCCTCCCAATAAAATAATCAATAAAATGTTGGCTGGTTTAATACAGTGAATGAAATGCGTGGTTAACTACGACAAAGGGTAGAAATGGCAAATAATATCAGTAATAGTGAAGATCAGTGGCGTGTAACATGAACACATGCTTGGGTGAAAAGGCAAACGTCCATTTTACAGTGCCATCCAAAGCAGAATTACACCTTAATATACGCTGAAGTCAGTAGGCTTAGTAGAATGCAGCTCTTTTTAGGACTGAATTGTTGCTCAACTTAGTCATGTGAGTTTTAGCTGATTAATTGTTTAATAAAATCTGCATATATTTGTATATGAGAAAAGTTTTTTTTTTAAGCGTGCTCCCTCCATGTTCAGTTGATTCACAAATCCTTTTCCAAGCATTCCCTGCTCTGTTTCACACAGCTTTGGAATGCTCCTGTTAAAAAAAAACAAACACTTTTCACCTGCAATTTTCATAAGCATTATTAAAAACATGCAAATACTTTAGAAATCTGCTGACCAGTTAATCAGGTTTACCTGCTTAGTCAATCAAACTGTGTTTTTTATCCCATTAATGTAACCAGTGGATCAAGTACATGCTGCTGCCTTATTTTTATCAAAAGCATCAGTGGTCTTTCTCTCTCTCTCTCTCTGTTTCTTACAGCTGATTACAAAGAGAGCTTCAACACAATTGGGCACATTGAAGAAATTGCCTATAATGCAGTGTCTTTTACCTGGGATGTCAACGAAGAAGCAAAGGTAAGGCATTAACTCGCAATAGATTTGTTAAACACACATTTTGTGCTGCAGTACTCAGAGCTGGTTTGGAAAAATGGTTGAACTGCTAATGCTATTTATATTCCAAAAGAAATACAAAGTGGTGAATGCTTTAAGTCAACGGTCTTGATTAAAAGCTGAGAGGCACGTGACTGAGAAATTTCACTAAAATTCAAGTGGCTTCTGAACTGAGAATGTTGCCTTTTCTGTCGTACAGACAATTTCTTTGCCCAGTATGTACACAAGTAACTTGATGCTGTTCAATAAATAAATCCTGAGGACATCTTTTGGGGGGAGGGGTTTATCTGGGGTTCTGTTTTGTGTTTAATCGTGACGTTCTTAATTGCGATTTGTGCCTTGAGCCACAAGGAAAAGCAGGATATAAATGTTTAATAATAAATAAATAAATGTGTGACAAGCATCAGTATATATACTCTTGGTGGAAGAAAACACTTGTGTTGCATTTGGATTATATGCATAAGAACATAAGAAGAGCCCTGCTGGATCAGACCGGTGGTCCATCTAGTCCAGCATTTTGTCTCACACCGTGGCCAACCAGTTCCTCTGGATGGCCAACAACAGGGCAAAGAGGCCAAGGCCTTTGCCAATGCTGCCTCCTGACTCTGGGATTCAGAGGATTAGTGCCTCTGAATGTGGAAGTTCACCCAACTAGATGTGACAGCATCCGCAGGTCCAATGGGTGTAGGGTTGTCAGATCTTACTTCCTTGCCGGTGGGGAGTGGGAGGGAGCTCTCTGGGAGTGTGGGGCGGGGAGACATCACACTGCAACACTCTGGTGTTTCAGGCAAAACTCTATGGTTTCAATAGAGTTTTGCCCCAAACACCAGATCGTCGCTGCACGACATCCCAGGCGTGATGACGTCACTTCTGCTTGATGCGATCACATTGGGGTTGTTGTACTGGTTCATTGTTGGGGGTGAGGCTTCCCCCCACCAGCCAGCTGGACAGCAGAGAGTTGTTGTTGTTCAGTTGCACAGTCGAGTCCGACTCTTCGTGACCCCATGGACCAGCTCCCGCCAGGCACCCTGGGACACCCTGGGACAGCAGAGAGTGGGGGACCATGAAATCGGGGGATCCCCTGCTCCCACCTGGGGGTTGGCAACCCTAAACCCGTGGACCCCCCTCCCTGCGGTTGTTGCAGTGCTTTAAAAGGCATGGGGGGGGGAAACAAGAGCACCTCTACTGGCCACACTAAAGGCCCAATTAGAACTGGGCCCTTGCAGGATTTTAAATAGTTTTAAAATGGTGGCAGTGTTCATGGGTCGGACCCGCGGATGCTGTCCTGTCTAGTTTGGCCCCGGTATGATCTCTATGCAAGGAACAGTAGTAACATTTGAAATCGTCTTTAATTGAACAGTTGATGATAGGGGACCGTAGTGGTGTTTGGCAACGCTGCTGCAAGTCCAAAGGAGTTCTGGGCTAGAGTGTGGGAGTGGGGCTACAGAGAGCCATCTCTCTGTGTGGGTTAGAGACCCATCTGTTATAGTAAGGTTTTAAGTTGCTGTCACATTTTTAGTGGTAGCTTGAATTCACTTATTGTCTCTGGAGAGTTGAAGAATCTGATTCCACCAGACTATTTATTTATTTATTTGCAACACTTTTAGCCTCTCTTTCTTCAAAAAGAGCATAAGGTTGGTTGCAATGTATTTTAAACCGTAATAAAAACAGAGGTGAAAATTATATCACTGGGGTGTTTCTAACCATGGTACTGAAGACATGTGGCCTAGGAAACTGGAGGAGACTGTAAGCAAATGCACAGGGAAGCAAGAACCCGAGGCAAGCTTTCTCTTTCGATTGCTTATCAGGAGGCAATGTTGTGTAGTCGTTTGAGTGTCAAGACGAGGATCTGGGAGACCCAGGTTCAGATCCCCACACTGCCGTGAAGCTCACCGGGTGACCTTGGGAGGCTTGGGCCGAGGGGAAGATTCTAAAGAGACCGTTAGAGTCTGTTAGGGAATGAAGTCTGGGAGAGTCAGTTAAGGTGGTTGCTGGCTGATGATGGATGGCTGCTGGAGACTCTCTGAGAGAAAAGGGGAGAAGCCCCTCCGTCCTTTGCCTCCCTGCGGCTGGGTCCAGTGAGGGACGGGCCGAGCTGGGAGAGGAGGAAAATCCTGAGTGAGTGAGGCAGGCTAGGGCCTGGTAGTCGAACCAAAGTCAGGCATCTGCGTTAAGTTTATTTTCTGTTGGCTTTTCCACCTGTTACCCGGTTGAAGCACCTTGCCCCAATCTTTCTCCTAATAAACCCTGTGCTGTTTAATTTATTTTGGTGTCTGCCTGGGTCATTCACGCCCGTATTGCTCGGTCAACAAGGGCTTGGGAAGACACCCTGGGACTCCCGAGGGACCCGAAAGTCCAGGGTGGCGGCGGCGAAAACCAAAGACCCCTCTGGGGTCATTCTCTCTCAGCTTAACCTACATCGGAAGGCTGTTGTAAGAATAAAATAGGGAATGGAGAACCATGGACTGCACCAGGAGCTTCTTGGAGGAAGTGTAGGGGGGAAATGTACCAGAGTGATAGATCTGTGCTTGTTGTTCTGCTTAGTGGTGGAAAGGGCCATCAAGTCAAGGAGGGGTTTCAAGGCAAGAGATAAACAGAGGTGGTTTGCCATTGCCTGCCTCTGTGGAGCACCCCTGGACTTCCTTGGTGGACTCCCATCCAAGCACTAACCAGGGCCGACCCTGCTCACATTCCAGGATCTGATGAGATCAGGCTAGCCAGGGTGATCCAGGTCAGGACATAGCAGCAAATTTTCCCCAGGAGTTGGGAATGGGTGGAGCAGGGCATTATCCGCAAAGATTGTGGTTTGGCTGTTCTTCCGCATTACATCCAGCATTGAGTAAGTGGTGTGCGATTCACAAAGGTGTAAATCTTTAATTAATGATCTTCGCATTGCTTCGGCTCCTTTTATCCAAGATCTCAAATGGTTTGCCGTAATTATTATGACAAATATGAACCTTGCCTGAATCCTCATAATGAAGGGTGACTTGGGGCTGCAGCCTGCTGCTATGTTTCTGTAGATCAGGTTGGAGCCAGAGGAGAAAGCCACCCTCTGAGTAATGATATGAACCTCTTAAGAGGGTCACCATTCTAAATGTGACATGATAGGGGCAGGGTATTCTTTTACCTGGGATTTCCTGGCTCAGGAGAGAAGACAGTCCATTATGATACTTGGACGAAGGAGGACTACTTTAATGCTGCAAGGAAGGAAGTCCATTTGTAGAAGAGTTAAAAAAGGCTTTCGTCAATAGCTGGAGTGATTTGGGGCTCTTACTGTTTGCTGATGAAAGACCACATCCTGGTGGGGCTTAGTAAGACAAATCCCCTCATTGTGCAGCCAGCCGTTGGCCTGAGGATGAATTTCATCAAAAGATGTTAAGGAGGGAAGAGTTACCAGTGCAGTGTGTGCGTGGCACCCAAACATTTAAGTCTGTTTTTAAGAAAACCCTTTAAACAGTCAAACGATACATACTTTCAATGATTCATTCTGATTGCGTTTCAAAAGGCCTAGAATGTTGTTAAAAGGAATGGGAGGGCTGAAATCACAGAAAGGAGGAGGAAGAGTTTTGCTCTGTTTGGAAGCGGCCATATTTTACGGTAGTATAAAGTTTGCAAAACGAAGGTAACTTTCTGTTCCTGTGGATTTTCTTCTACTGACCCACTGTGGCTATTCACTTTATATCCTCTTTGAGTTCTAATGGGTTCTTTTAAAGTAGGCTAAAGGGAAGGTGCTCTGATTCTCAATTTACATTATCCCCCAGAATCTGTGGGGAAGTATAATGCATCCAGTACGGTATTGGATTTCTAGCTTCTAACTAGACTACCTTTATGATTTGCCTTTTTCTGGCCAGAGAACTAGATCAAGATAGCTTGAACAGAGTTACATGAAATAGAGGAACCAAGACTAAATCCTAGTCCCAACTGTTGTAATTAAATCATTTTATACTTTGGACTTCATATGGAAACGTATACTTTCAATGCAGACTCTGGCTTTTGGGGTTCCCTGCTGAGCCTCCAAACTGGGCCCTGAAGTTACATCCCAAAGTCAGGACGTGGCAGTACCCCTGATTGTCCCCACTAATATTTCCCCGTCCTCCAACAGTTCTTCTGAAGAAATCTGTAAGGGTGGAATGAAACATTACAACCCCAACCCCCCCGGAGTGCCATGGAAACAGTGGATTTTCCTCATTCTTTCTTTCCTGACATCCTTATGTTGTGCATTTCCACTCCCTGTATCATTGCTGGGGAGTATCAGGATATGCCTAGTTCTGGCAATGCACTGCAGAAAGTATAGTACAATGAAGTCAGGCCGTGGAGTAGATTTTATTAGATGTTAAGGTTGCAGAGGAGGCAATTGGACATGGGCTGTCATTTTCCACAGCTTCCTCATTTGTATTGTAAAATGTGGTTCCTCCCTAAATATGTGATCCAAAAGTAGGTATAGGGTGGTTCCTCCCTGAATATGTGGCCCAAAAGCCCGTTGTTTTAAAGGGACACAAGATGTACAATGGAATCAACCCCTCCTTTCATTTATTGTCTTTACTGTTTTTGCAACTGGAGTCATAAACAGCAAATCAACCTTTAGTTGCTGTAGATTTTCCGGGATGTGTAGCCGTGGTCTTGGCATTGTAGAACCTGACGTTTCGCCAGTTCTACAATGCCAAGACCACGGCCACACATCCCGGAAAATCTACAGCAATTAATGAACTCTGGCCGTGAAAGCCTTCGACAGCAAATCGACCCCTTCTCTCCCCCCCCCATCTTTTTAGCTTTATCACCCTGCTTTCACATTGTCAGTGTTTGTCTCCTGGACTTCAGTTCAGATCACTTCTCTCTGTAGATACATCCTGGCTGATTCAGTATGTCAGAGGAGACATTGGCTTGGATCCAGCAGTGCACAAGCAGAAGCATAGGCAGACTTAACACAGTTCTGCTTGTGCAAGATCTTGTGCAACACCTACGTA